TGACCCCAGCTGACTTCCTGCCCTTTGGGCGGGGAGCTGAACTCAATGATCTTCCGAGGTCCCTTCTAGCCCTAATGTCTGCAATCTATGAAATCACTTTCCAGAATAGTAAAACACAGACCACGATATACAAGAAACCTACAGAACAACACACATCTGCACAGAGCCAGCAATGGCCCTAAACACACTAAGAAAACTGTAATATACAGCTAAGCCCTCAGATACCACCGAATTGGACTCCTTGGGTACCTCTCCACTGCTTACCGGCTACATTCATTGCCCTCCCCCCATTCCCCCCCAGTCTCTCTCACCCATTGACTTTTTAATTTACATTGTCACTGACTGGCTTTCTTGCATGTATACCAGCCTCTGGCTTCCACCTAAGAAGAGCATACCAACTGCAGTTGCTTCCTCAGCCTGGCAAAGGGTGTTTGTGCCTGAAGGCTTGCAAAGAAGAATTTTTTCTAACTATTTGAGTTGCTCTAATAAAAGATACCAGATTTACCCGAAGAACCTTGTCTACCTATATTCTCCTACATGGCTCAAGTAGCCCTGTGATGAGGAAAAGGAGGCTATATGCAGATAGAGGGTTAGGTAGTGTTTTTGTGGATTATGTTTACCACTTTGTAGCATCTCCATAACTCTTCACAGTTTTTTTTACTATTGCTTTTGATTGTCCAGTGCAGCACTGGAGAGAGAAACAACATTTTACATGTTTACAAGATGTTTCATCAAACCACGAAATTCAAGATCCATTTCTTACATCAAAAGGTTCATAAATGCAGTTGTGGGCTCCATAGACAGGATTTGGGATGGACACCAAGGACGGGCTCCCGTCTTGCTCAGATAGTTCTTCCTCCATGTCAGCCTGTATGCAAACATACAAGTTTAGGTGTAGTATTATGACTCTGGTAGAGGTGAGTTACTGAAGTTTTGAGCACCAAAGGCTCTATGTAGCATTCTGTAGTACTGCTAATGAATATCTGTCCATAGCTAATGTACAACTTGCCATGCCCCAATCCTGATATGGAGAAGATGGCTTGGGATCTAAACCTGATATGGACCCAGGAATTAGGTGGTAGTTTACATTTCCCTGAGAGGCTTGATTTATGCTGTCGTCATTGTTCATGTATTCTGCATTAAGCAATCACTGAATAAAGCAGTCCTGAGAAAAGAAACTGGAAGCTACTCCAAGAAAAGGAGGCTAGCACCACTATTACCTCAGCCATGTTTGAAAGAAGAAGTGCAGGTGCTTACCTTCAGAAGAGAGTTCCACACTACAGGTTCCAAGCAGATGGATGTGCCTGCCTTCCACTCTGACTAAGGTGTGATAGGCATAGGATGGAAGGCACACATTTGTGCTTAGAGTATTGGCTAGTTGTTGCCTGCTAAGCTCATTGTCTGTGTTGTTTGCCGTTCTTGAGGCAGTAAACTCTCCTCTGGTCCTGGACAGATAACCTAGGTGCCTAATTTTGTCTTTGTATATGGCTTCTATTAATGCAGATGATGATGTATCATCTGAGCAGAACTTTATTTATGCTAGTCTAAAGACTTCCCACATTCATAGATTTCATAGATTTGTTTGG